GGCAGGCAAAGATTGTTTCAGAGGCAGAGCAGCATGCTTTAATTCAGTTACCATTACCTCAAAGCCCAGCAGGAAGTTTTTTTCTGGTCAAGAAGAGAGGCTGTGTGCTGGGTGCCATTACAAAACACACTGTATGTGTTGTAAATGATGACAAACATACTGTAGACATTTTTTTTTAAGTCATACTGGGAAAATGAGGAATAACACCAGATTTTTTTGGTAAGTGACTGAGCTCAAGTGTTTGTCTGGGTAGTTTAATTAAAAAATAATAATAATAATAATCATGCTAGAAGCATTTCTTAAAACACCCCTGCCTTCATCCCTTCAAATATTTTATTTTGAGAAAACTGATGACAGTAAGGACCTGCAATTTTGTATAATTCTTATTAAGAAATTCACTTTTTTATTTTATTATGTTTTTTTGTTTGTTTGTTTGTTTTTTACCTGCAGTTCTTTTTGTTCCTTTCTTCAGGCAAATCTGAAATGGTCAGGTGGGAAATCTTATGAATTGAGATGGAATAACCCAATAAAACAGGAGGACCTTCGGTGTTGCACACACAATGAAAGCTTGTTTTTGCCAACCAAAAAATAAATAAATAAATAAATAAATGCCATTCACAACTCAAAATTTGCAATTATTATCCCAAATTTTCAACTTAATAACTCAAAGTTCTGAGAAGTTAATTCTCAGAAACACAAAAAAGTGACTTTTGGATGCCAACAAATGTTTGGTTGGTTGTTTTTTTCTGTGGCAGAAACAAGCTTCCATAACAAACCACTGGTGCTCAAAGAGGGGAAGAAAAACAGGAAAACGCTAAATGGAAAAATTACAACCAAAAACAGGCATTAAAAAACGAAATTTTAAAAATCCAGGTCCAGGAAGTCACAAGCAGTTTGGAATAAATAATAAAGGCTTTTATATTATTTTAGTAGCCAAAACCCCCTCAGCTTCCACCTTCTGGCTGTTGAGACACAAAGAGGCCCTGTGATTATGTTTTTCAACCTTTTTTTGTAAGCAAGGATGGAAATGAAGAACCCCTAGTGAGAGATTTAAGGGAAAGGGTGTCTATAACTTATAAAAGAAAGTCAAAGATAGGCAGCAAACCACCTTTTTAAACCTCAGACAACAGCCAGAAAGAGACTCAGGTGCAGTGTATGGCCAGTGACACTTGCACCTGAAGGCCAGAGTATGCCAGCACTATAACTAACAGGATGAGTATGATTAGGCAGATAAGAATGTTGCTTGGTTTTTAATTTCTGACATGAAAACAGTCAAATGTAAGTTAATCAGCAAGTTAGTGTTCTTCGTTGATAATTTAACAAGACAGTTCATCTGCTGATTGGCTGATTGCTGCTGTGTGTTAACTCAGGTATTAGCTAAAGTTAAAAACAAAGTGTCTCTCATTTGGTGTGACATTTATAGTTTGTGATACGCGTTTCATATGAGAGTGAGTGAAAAGTGTGACACTACACTATTTCAGACATGTAAGCTGATCCATCCACCCTCTGGACAGATCCCGGTCGATTGCAGGGCCTGCAGCCAGTTTAGAATCACTATTCAACCTAACGTGCATGTTTTTGCGCTGTTTTGCACAGCAAGACTCCAGCAGGCCACTGGATTTGAACCTAGGACCTTCTTGCTGTGAGGTGACTGAGGTGACCACCTTAACTTTAAAACAGATTGGCTTAAATTGTCATCAACCACTCTTTTGATGAGGTGTATAGCTTTAGCATCCCCACGCTTCATGGCTGAGGTTTTTATCCTGGAAAACTGTCTTTGGTCTGGATCAGGCATCAAGCGTTTGCCTACAGATTTAACAAACTAGTTTAGCTCTAAAGTTCTTTTTGGAGATTTGTTTCATGGCACGACTCCCATGGAAGCCCAATCTGTGCCAGACTTTGACGCCAACAACTGCTTGCAGATCCCTTGGTGAAGTGTGGGGGCTGAGGTTTCTGGCACAACTTCACCTTCTTCTAAAATGTTCAGAGAGGAGCGGTTAAAACTTCCGTCTCGCTTTTAGACTAAGGAACAACTTTATTGTTTGACGTACGCATTTTGGCTGATGGCCTTGTATTTATATACCTCCATTTATATACCACCACCTGTTTGAAAATTGCTAGGGTGGCCAGTCCTGAACCAGTTTAAACTGTCTTCTCCACAGCAGGGAGATGTATTTCAAACAGTTTTATTTCTCAGACTCATAAACACCCCTCCATGAATGGCTACCTTACCATGATGGAGGAGTTTGTGTGTGGCTTTTGTCCCCTGGTAGGGCATCCCAAGGCAAATTTGTCCTTGTTGATGGGACAGATGAAGAGCAATTCACAAGACCCAAACCAAGGGGAAGAAATCAAGGTTTAGTTTACCCTCCCTTGAACAGGATTCTCATGGCCTCACCCTGGAGCCAGGCCTGGAGAGGGAGGGTGGCTGGGCCTTATTCCATGGGGTTCAAACAGGAAACATGGGCCTGGACTCATGTCGGGCCATCTCCTGCAGGTGCAATGTATGCCGGGTGGTGGTCAAGGGCAGAGGCCCTGATGGTCCAATGCCCAGCTATCGAGGCTAACTGTTGGGACATGGAACCCTGGGCAGAGATTATGCCTCTCTGCTGGCCTGGGAATGCCTTAGTATTCACCGGATAAGCTGGAGGAGTGGCTGGGGAGACAAAAGGTCCTGGCTTCTTTGCTTAGGCTGCTGCTCCCGCAACCTGGCCCCAAATAAGGGGAAGAAAATAGATGGATGGAGACTCAGACATCCACAGCCCTTTCTGAAGGCCTTAGTGAGCTAACGCTTCGATAGTAAAAAGAAAAGCAGACACTAAACATCCAGTTTGAATAAGATGGGTGCCACGTGTGAATGTCAGTACTCCATGGATAGTATCACCCAAAAGCATTAAGTGAGGCTGCTGAGTCTGCTAACTAACAGGACAAAAAAATCTACTTTTTAAAGTAATGCATTAAAATACCCTGCAGATGTTTACTCCTTTTGTTGGTGCACATACAAAAATGAGATTATTTTAGTTCAATCAGGCATGTGGTAAATTAAAATGGCAGCAGTGGCAGTGAAAAGCATTTATAATCGGCCCCAGCGTGCCTTTCTCACATGATAAAAATTCACGGGACAAGTCACATGCAATGGAAGTGGTCATTAATTTTGGATCCTGCTGCTGCTGCACGTTCACTGAAGCCAAAGATTAAACGGAGTTGAGAATTTTATTATTGGAGGCTGATTAGACTGATCCCACAAAGATCCCAATTAGTGTAAGAAAACCATGAGTGAGTGTGTGAGCATGGACGTAAAATCTTAATGACTTTATAGTAATTAAAATCCACAGCTTCAAATTTAAGAGACACTCTGGGTCACAAATCTTCAGCAGTTTATTTGTAAAAAGAGTATTTTAGTAAATCAGTTATGCTAGAATAATGTCCAAATTATGACTCATTTATAATGTGAAATGTTATCAATTGTATCATCTCTCACATTTATACACAAAAGCCAGCTATATGTGCTGTTATAGTGGTGAATGTTCATATTAAACATGGGCAAAATTTCTAATAAATAGGTCATGTGTGCACAAATAATCTAAATGCTCTATTTGAAACCATCATTTCTTAGCTCTGTATGTCAAATACGCAATCTCAGGGATACCTTTAGACTTTGTAAAAGATGGATGCAGCCACAGTGCAGTGATGTCGTCCAGCAGTCAGGGAGATCCCTTTTGAGGTCTGATGTTGAGCATTTCCACTGGTGAACTAAGAAGCAAGATTTGGGCATGCCCAGGTAACTTTGAGTTTAGCTGTGGGTTTTAATTATTACCAAGACAAAGACTTCTTACTGCAGTACATCGCCATGGTAACTTATGCTGCTGACTTCACTTCTCTGGAAAGTACCATCATTCCTGGGAAATGCCTCAGACCTCTGTCGACCATGTGACAAATTTACAGGTAAACAGCATTTAAGTTCTTATTTATATATTACATTACTCTCAGGTCATTAAACTGCACCAGGACTGGCAGTCAAAGAAATAAAAAACTATAACCCATCACGTTCTTCTAGTGATACAGATGAGCCTTGTTAACTTGCATGATGTTTTTGTTTTGTTTTTTCCTTTCCTTCCTAGCTTCAAAAAGGGTTAACTTCAGTTTTACTGACCAAAGGACTTAAAATGCAAACACACACACACACACAGCTATTTCCTTTAGCCTGGATTATGGTAAATGGCCTGTATTTGTATAGCGCTTTTCTAGTCCCTAAGGACCCCAAAGCGCTTTACACAACCTGTCATCCACCCATTCACACACACATTCACACACTGGATTATGTGAGCAACTTCAAATTTTTCCTAATACTGGAGTTTCCTTTCTTCTTTTAAAAACATATTTAAAAACCAAAAAAAATAAATAAATATAATACTACAAAAAAATATCACTCTGCTGCCAGTATGTTTGTGACTGGTCAGATGTTTCCAGCGTAATCCACTTCACGTGAATATGCCAATAGAGAGTGATAAACAAATGAGATCACTTTGCCTGATTGGAAGGGAAAGTGAAGCCCGAATATGATATCCCCAGGGGCGATCTTAGCTCAAGAGCTGGGAGTTCGTCTTGTAATCGGAAGGTTTTGAATTTGCGTCATCAAGTCCAAACATAAGCGAAGTGGTATATCTAACCAATCTCAAGGTCGTTTATCCTTTTTGACTTGAACTGGGACCAGTTTACAAAACGATCATCATATTGTGTTGATTACGACTCAAAACTAGCAACTGAGATGATAAACTCAGCAGGAAACTGTTTACTGAGCTCAAACAAGTGTAATCAGTTTTGCACCCTCTGCTGGCCAAGAGAAAGAATGGGGGTTTAACACATCTGGACTGGTTTTACCTTTCATTTACGACCACCTTTTATATACAGTTTATGTTAATGACATCCACTACCAGCCCACCAGAGCCCGTTTCCCAAATATTCTTTAGGACATACAAATAAAGATTAAAAAAAAAAAATTTAATATCAATGTTTCCATTTAATAAAATATATTTGCAAGCAAAATAAACCGACATTTCTGTTTTATCGCTCTGTTTCTTAGCCAATTTTAATAAACAATTATTCAAGCAAACGTTTTGCCATGAGTGCGCCACTAACATGTTAATTACTCAGCCAAACCAGACTTTTAAAAACAGTTATTGCAGCTGCAGAAACCTAAAGTCTCGTGTCTACTAGTCTCATTTATTGGTTGTGCAGTTGTAGATTTGTTCTCATCTGCCACACAGTTATTAAAAGGTCATTCAAGCTGCTACGTAGCTTTGCATCGCCAATGGTACAAAAGGGAAACAACAACTCAAAGTGGAATGGCTACACGAGAGAGCGAAAACAACCATCTTTTCATCAACTCATCAATGTTTAGTACATACACATCATCTACAGGTGTAACAGTAGCAAGGAGCATGAGAGAAGCAGTCTATTAAGCTTTAAAAACTAGAATATGCTTAAAAAGGGATTTACTAACCACAGAAAAAGAGAAATACAATTCAAAATACTCTCTTTTCAAAAAAAAATATCTTGAAGTGGCTGTGACTAGCAGCAGTATCAAAAGTCCCCTTTATTTAAAATTTATTTCCGCAATCAATTTTTTCAAAAGACTTTCAGCTCTGGGCTTAATTTACATGTTTTTGGCATCACGCTGCTCTTAAGTGAAACCCCAGAAGACAATTTTCCTCTGCAGTTTTACTAGACAGCACTTTCCTATTTACCAACGCTTCACTGATAAATATGATCTGGATTTTAACACCATGTGCACTATGTACAAAACAAAAACTAAACTTAAAGAACGATTAGGATGCCTTTGCAGATTTTGAGGTCGGAAATGTATCCAGAATACAATTGGATGAGATGAGGCTATCTCATCATCTTGAAATGAACCGAATTGTGATTTTTGACAAGAGGGGAAACCCCCCCAAAAACAAGCAAACAAAAAGGGTAAGATACTCCCGTGAACTACAGCCACTCCAAAATTAACTGCCATGAGTTGTTGGTTGGTAAATCATTACTTAAAAAACAAACAAACATGAGAAGAAAAAAAACAAAAACAAAAAAACAAAACACTCTTTTCACTCATCCGAGTCACGTATCAATACATGATTTAAAAAGCAAATCTTAAATTACAACAGTGATGTTTTTGTCTGTGGAGGACTTTTGTTATCCTAAATGCCAAGAATTAAACTGCAGACTTAATAAAAGGGATGGGTTTTGTTTTTCCTTTTTAAAAACAGGGTTGACCCTCACACCCATCACCGGTCCATCATGCTGAGGATCATCTCAGGAGTCAGTTCCCCGTTCGGAGGGGCTTCAGACAGCTGCCCCGCCTGCGTAGCACCCTCTCCCTGGGTCAGCTCCTCCATCTGGATGGTCGACTTCCCTCCACCCACCACCACCTCCTGTGCAGCCTCATTGCCATCATCGTCTTGGTCGGCTCCGACCTCCTTCTTCACAATGATGTCGTCGACCTCTCCGGTGGCCTCGTCCTCCACACGGATGATAGCAGCCGCTGTTTAGGACAATTTCAGGTCAGACTAAAGACACACCTTTTCAAATTGGTACATATAGTTTGTTATCTGTGAAAAATCCAACACTACACACTACGAGTTAAATGACATCAAAAACGGTCACCAATTAAACACTTACTGTCTGGTTTGCTCTTTGGGGGGCGCCCACGCTTCCTCTTGACTGGTGGCTCCACTGGGGCTGGGATAGGGACAACAGGCGAGGCCTGCTCCACCTCCATCTCCATCTCAGTCAGCAAATCCTCTTCCTCCTCTACCTCATCAAGCTCGCCCTCTATATATATATATATTTATTTATTTATTTTTTTTAAAGGGGGGAAACAATAACTTGTTAGACTTAATCACATTTTCTTGCACGGCCTTAAAAAATCAAGATCTGCAACAATTTAATGTAGCACCCAAACCTCTTTGACAGGCTCCTAAATATTTACTTAAGACACTTTGATTATTTGTATATCAGCTTTTCAAGCACTTGTGTACGAGACCTGTGTCGTCGTCGTCATCATCATCCCTCCTGGACTGCATCTTCCTCTTCCTGCCACGTCGTCCCTTTTTGGGTGGTGGAGTTCCGTTTTCTTCTAAAGAAGCATCACCTGTACAGCTGTCAGCATGACGTAGCATCGTGTTCTGTGGAGCAAAAACACAGAACCGTCACACCTCTGTGACATACGCACACAAACAACCCTCTCATGTGTGCACTATGATCTCAAGGGTCAGTCCTACCCTGCGAGTGAATGTCTTGCTACATTTGTTGCAGACGAAGGCAGTGGGGGTGAAGTTAGGATCGTGGTAACGCTTGAAGTGCATGTCCAGGAGCTGCTTCTGACGGAAAGTTTTGTCACACTGGCTGCAGGCGAATGGCTTCTCCCCTGTGTGCGTGCGCTTGTGCATTATCATGTGGCGTTCCTGTTGGGTAACAGAACAAAAGACATTTAACGTTTGTTTAGCAGTAAAATAAACAGCAGGAGCATAATGTATTCCAGCCCAACACGGACCTGTCTGCAGCAGTAGTCACACTGGTCACATCTGAAACGCTTCTCATTCTTGTGAGTCTTCTGGTGCTGAATGAGAGCATAGCGCTCATGAAACACAGCATCGCAGTAACGACATTTCTTCCCCGTCTCAATAAATGAATGCTGTTTTCTCAGGTGAACACCTAAGATGGAGACAAAGGCATAAAAATCCAGTCAGATAAATGTCATATTGCCTTGTTATAGAGATAAAGACTCCCTGAAATATTCTGTTTCACAACACAGGGCAATCCACTAACTGAGAGCAACATGTTTACGTTCCTTTAACTGTCCTTCTGCATACAGTTTGAAGTAGAAATAGTCTCAAATCACTCACCAAGATCACTTTTACGTGCAATGACGGTATCACAGTGTGGGCAGTGAAACTTTGCCACATTCTCTGTGTGTTTCTGCAGGATGTGCATCTTCATGGTGCCGCTTTGTGTGAAACGAGCATGGCAGATGTAGCACTCGTATGGCTTCTCACCTGCAACAGAAGAAGACGAGTCAGCTACTCTCCTAAAAAACTGGAGCTAAAACACACTTTGACTGAAAATCTAAGGATTTTACCAGAGTGTGTCCTCATGTGTCTCTTCAGCTTATAAGTGTCTCTGCTGGCATAGCTGCAAAGACTGCACTGGAAGGGTCGCTCCCCTGTGTGAGAGCGGATGTGCCTTTTCAACTTGCTCACCTGGGAAAAGAGACACATTAGCCTTTATTCCATGGTATAGAGACCAGGTTGATGCCCAATTAAATAACTAATATAACTCACCTCGACACTGGAATAGTCGCACATGGAGCACTTAAAAGGCTTCTCGTGTGTGTGCTTGTAGCGACGATGACGCACTAACTCACCGCTGGTCACAAACGCCATGTCGCAATCTGTGCATTTATGTGGCCGAGTGCCTTTAAACGAAGAAGAAAATCAGAACTGTATATTAACTGCTGGTGTAGCTGAAATCTGAAATACAACACTGGATGAAAAGGAGATAAATGCCCACTAACTTTTGCAGTAATAATAAGTAAACACTCTGAAAATTTACTTCCTCGCTCACCAAGTCCATCCAGCAAATTGTTTCCGTTTCTGTATTTTCTCCAAATACCTGTGTGTGTGTTGAGGTGGTTTCTCAGCAGTGTGACTGTTCTGAACGCTCTCCCGCACAAGTGACATTTATGCGGCCTCTCATCTGTGTGGCTCTTCATGTGTCGGTCCAGGTTAGAGCGCCGTGGGCAGGTGTAGCTGCACAGCTCACACTGGAAAGTCTTCTTAACACCTGGACACAGAGATGTTCAATTTAGCACTGGGAAAGAAGAAGAAAAAAAAAATCTCTTGAAAGTTTTCGTGTAACTTGATCAAAGTCTAACCTTTTTTCTTGATCTTTGTGGGTTTCGGGGGCTTCATGTTGCCCACAACCTTCTCAGCATTAACCTCTGACAGCAGTCCCTCCTGCTGCTCTTCCTCAAAGTCGTACACAGAAACATCCATGTCACGATCGCCTTCTGCATAGCGCAGGCGACTCTTCTTTCCCTTCTTTGCTTTACGGACAGCAGTAATGGGCTGGTAGTCAGGGTCCTTTGTCCACTCTGGGTCATCTTGCAGGGGCACAGAGGTCTCCACCTCTGCTGGCTCTTCCTCCTCCTCCTCCACCCTTGTCCCTTGGAGCTCCTCGTGGGCTGCCTGGAGCTCCTCCTGCTCTACAGTCTCCACTTCACCATTTGCGCCCACTTTAACTACCTAGTGTAGGAATATGACAAATGAATCCTACTGGAACAAAGACTTCACTGAAAATCAAAGACAATCAAAAGCACCGGGTAGCCTCAAGTCATTTCTCACCTGGAAGCCCTCAGGTAAAGGAAGAGTGTGACAAATAACTGGCTCTGCATCCTTGTTAGCCGCTGACGTCTCAACATAAGTAGCCTGGAGCCCGTCTACAGTTGTAGTTGTGACAGGTACCTGCACGAGCTGAAGCTGACCCAGACCTAATGCTGCACCTGCTTGCTCCTCCATGTTCACCACCTGTGAAGAGAGACTGGACTTTATCGTTTGATGGCAAAAATAAAAGACCTGACATATATAATCTGGCTAAAAAGTTTAAACCGTGCTCTTTACAAACCTGAAGCGTGATGATCTGGCCCTCATCTCCACCTGAAACTGTCATTGTGCCACCTCCCTCCAACACCTCTGTCTTCATTTGTAGAAGAGTTGGGTCTAGAGCATCCATCACCATCATCTCCATGTTACCAGCGACTTCACCCTGCGTCAAGGCCTCTCCACCCTCTGGCAGGACCTTTCCATCCGTCACCTGAGCGGACTCCATGGAAACAACCTCGGCCTCCATGGCAATGAGCCAACAAATGCGCTAAACAGAAAGAACGTGAATATCTTTAGCAAAAGGAAAGACTGGTGTGATGGAGAATTGTTTGTAACCAAAAAGTGCTTTATTTATTTTTTTATTTGATCCCCCCCTTCCTTTGCCCTCTGGCTAAACTGAAACAACGGGATGGCTTTCAGTAAATCCAGACATGTTTAGACCAGATGATGAAAGCACCTAGATTAACTGAACAAACAATTTAAAAAAAAAAATATCCTTGTATCAATATTTGCCTGTGCACTGAAAACATTCCCAGTGTTTGGTTTTCCTTTTCCTGAATGTGCAGTATGACAAAAAGTGCTGCCAGCAGAATACAAAACTTTTCCATTTCCAGGATATCAATTACACCCATTTAAACTGGCAACTTTAGAAAAAAAAAACAGTTTAGTGTGTAAAACTGTCCACAGTTTGTTTTGGGTTTTTTGGGGCTTATACACCAAACTCCGTTTCCCTTGTCTTTTACTTGGAGTTGATGTCAGATGAGCAGCATGCTGTTTTTTTTTTACTTTTTAAAACAAAACACAAAATAAAACAAACAAAGCCCACCTCTGCTAGGGATGAGCGATGCCCCATTTTCACCAGGGCCACCAACTAGTAACTAGAGTTTATTTAATGCCTCAACCCAACATGTTCTCTGTTTTCATTTATTTTGTGCTTTCTCATCTGAACATACATACCAAACAGCGCTCAATGCATTTTGCACAAAGTATTTTAACATTTTTCATTTACTGGTCACCATATGTGGAGAAGGCCAGCTAGCTGCAGTTGTGTGTGATGACAAGAAACCTTGTTTTTAGTTAAAGGGTTTCAAATAAAGTACCTGTTCAGATAGTTTAAACGTGAAGAAAAGTTCTCCTCTTCAACTGATCAGATGGGTTGTTTTACAAAGCACAATTAAGAGTCTACAATGAAAGTTGTCTCTATTCAGATTAACTTTAAGTTCGCCACAGGTTTAAATGTGCAAGATTTAAACAATACACTAGATTTATTTAACAGTTTTATTTATAATGTAAAACAAATCGCTTAATAAATTATGCTATAGTTTTACAGATTAAGCTCCCGGGATTTAGCTTTGCTTTTTGAGAGTCAGTAAAAGTATACAAGGGACCAATAAAAGTCTCATCTCCTGGACTTGGGCCCAGTAGAGACCACAGATGTTAAGACTCACCAGAGTACTAAAAACTATCATATTTAGACTCTTTACACTAAGCACGTACAGCCATTACGCAATGACACCCCGCACAAGCCAGAGTTCGAGGAGTCCGGGTCATGTAAACTAGCACCCGAGCCAGAGTGAAACTCTGGTGGACGATGCAGAAACCGTAACCGTTTTTAATAACTGCGATGCAAATGTTTAAAAGAGTCTTCATTCCTGCCTTCCAGTGGTTATCTGGTTTGGCTGAACGCTGATAGGTTATGACTGTGAGCCAGTAACAGAAATCACATTTAGTCCGATGCTTCAGGAAGCATTTGTTCGCTTGTGTGTGATTTTTTTTTAAATCTAAAAATCCGTTCTCCTCCGTTCTGTTTTTATCAATTCACAGGACATCGTCCAACAGATGATGTATAGTTTAATAAGCGAAATAAAACTACTTAAATACTGTCTCGTGTTAGTTGGTTAACTCGGGAGGCGCGAGTACGTCTGAAAACAGGAAACAAAGGGCACGATAAGATGGACGTCAGGCCTGAACAAACTTAAAACAGGAACACCGATAAATACAGCCATCCCTGTGCACATACATCGAAATATCGGTCAAAAACCAACAAAATGCTCAACTGAAACAGGGAGTTACATTTTATAGACGGATTTAGTGCATTTTAGATAACGATAGAGGGAGACAAACACCCCCCGCCAGCCGCCTGGCCGGTAAGCCCGACCGTGACACCTAGAGGCCGGCGACGGCTCCTACAAAAACGTTTCCGCGTTTGGAGGCAAAGTAAAAGCTCTACTTACTCCTGGTTTCTTCCTTTCCTCGTTATGTTCACTTGGAAGCTCAGCGCCTACAGTAGCTCCTTTCAGTCCTGCAGCGGACGGCCGTAAGTGCTCCGCGCCGGGCTAATAATTTTCTCCCGCTTTGGAAGAGTGGGCCTAACATACAAAATGGCGGCCCATAAGAGCCACTGCGCCTGCGCAACTAGGTGTCCGGGGAGTAAAGAGGAGGGATCGGGATGTTGCTGTGGGTGATGGGCGCCAGATTTGAATTCAGGCGTGGGCGTGGCAACCACGGAGACGGTTATTAAAAGGGAGAGGTTATTGATTAGTTTTCTGATCTGCTATCAGTTTTTTTTTTCATCGGGAGTGACCTTTAAACATTCAACAGCATCGAGTCAAGATTAGGAATAATGTTTGCTGTATTAAAGCAGTTCATCCAGTTAGCCACTGGAGGGCGGCATGAAAGTGTCAAATTGGGGTTTACAACATGCACACAAATGAAATCGTGAGTGATAATTAGCTGCGTAGTGTATGTAAGATGAAAAGAAAACCTATTTAGACTGTTGCCATGGGAAAGTGAGCTCCTGGACCCTAGCTTTTAGGACTTTTCAATTATAGCCCACCATTAATTATTTGGTTCAAAGGTTTTTTAGTTAACTAACACCAAACTAGAAACAATAACTATGTATAAAATATTTAAGTCATATGAAATAAAATAAAAAAGCAGCTAAAATTAAACGGGAAATCTTTTATTTTAGCCTTTGTTTACTAAGACTTGGAACTGGGACCTGGAACTAAACACAAAATTAAGAACAAAAATTAAACATGAGATAAAATAAAAGTAGCTAGAACACAAAAAACGACCATACAACTGAGATAGTGTGTAAAATGTAAACAAAAACAGAATTCAGTGATTTGCAAATCCCATAAACTCATATTTTATCCACACTAGAACACAGATACAAAGTAAATGTTTAAGCTGAGAAACCGCTGGAGGAACATTTTGAAATTAGGTTAATTAGACCCATGATTGGGTATAAAAACGGCATCTTAGAGAGACAGACTTTCTTAGAAGTAAAGATGGGTAGATGTTCACCAGTCTAGAATAAACTGTGTCCACAAACTGTGGAACAATTCCTGATTATTGAAAAATATTGAAAATATCTCTGAATATTGTTCCTCGATGTAAAATGTAAAAAGATTGTGAATATGTTATCATCTACAGTACATATTATCGTCACAAGATTCAGAGAATTTGGAGAAATCTCTTGTGTGTTAGGGACAAAGCTGGAAATCAGTACTGGATTCCTGTGATTCTGGGGCTCTCAGGCAGCACTGTTTTAAAAGAAAGTATGTTGTTCAATACACAGCAGTATATTCACAGTTTAAACCAGATATTTACGTACACTTTATGGAACAACATTTTTTTACTGTACAACATCAATTTAGAGTAAATTTGTTTTGTTTTAGATAAATATTGAAATATCTTTTGAATTTGTTAAATGTCAGAATAAAGAGAGACAGAGCTGTCTATTTTTTATTACTTTAATCAAATTTAGGAGTACATATACACTAAGTTTATTGTTAATTTATAAGAAAACTCCAGACGATTCCATTCTGAGCTGAAGAAGCTTCTGATAGGTTAGTAGAGTCCATGTGAGTAAATTGGTGGCACAGCTGTGGATGCATATACTGTAACGCAAAACACAGAGCCTGTTTCTTTGAAATGGGAAAATCAAGAGATGTCAACCAAAACACCAGGAAAAGAACTGTGGAGCTCCATAAGTGTGGCTCAAGTTTGAATACAATTTGGTGCCATTTACAATTAAGAAATACAGATAGTTTCTCTTCTTACTCTTTATATTTATCAACCTAAAAAAATAAACATTTAGTCTGATTTGATGTTACAATTAAAAAAGTGTTTTTATCTGAAGAGTGTGTAAATATCTGGTTTCAACTGTATATTTGATGATGTTGGTGTTTGGCTTGATTGTCAGCACAAAGAGGGAGAGAGAGAGAGAGGAACAGAGAGGGCAAGAGAAGGAGATGGAGAATGAGGACAGAACAGAGATGGAACAAGAGCAGGTGAGACACATGTTAGTCAAATGGTCGTTTACCAAAAGTATCACCGTATCATAGGTCCTCATGTATCTCGTACCTAGTGTTTCTTTTTAGGTTTGTTATTTTTCAAATTCTATATTTATTAAGTTATGCAGGCTTGTTTGCACAACAAGGCTAAATAATTATATAAACTTTTCTCAATCTAAATAGTGTTTTGGTAGAATTAAAAAATAAGTGTAGTGCAGGTCTATGATGATTTTTAGTGCTACTATCATCTAGTTCTGATTCTGGTTCTGTCTTGGTTAAATCCTAAGTAGTCCTGATTGTGAACTGTTGTAGACCTGTTTTAATTCTGCCGGATCAGTTCGGGGTCTGGTTGAATTGGGGTTTAGTCCTCGTGTCTTGATACCCCCCCAATCCCACATGCATACTACCTTAAGCCCCGGGTGTATCAAATGTCTGCCTCTGCCTCTGCTGGGGCCTATAAAAGTCTTAACTGCTTTGATTACTAGGTACTGGGTTTCCTTTCATAATTTTTATTTGTATTCGAACCTTAAAAACATTGAGCTGATATGTGCATAGTGAATAATGATGCAAATGATTGCATGTCGTCATCTGTCAGCTACTTGTCTAATAATTAAGACTCACATTTCTTTATAATCTGTCACAGTTTGGGAAATATTCCACGTTTTGAAGATCAGACGGGGTTGTGTTCAGCTGGCAGACAAAAGCTGTGCAGTACAGTAATTGCCTTTGAACTGTAATGCATTAAAAGCTTAACATTTCTTGAAATGCAAGTACAAATACCTCCGACATTATTTGTGAAAGTCAGTTACACGTGAACACTTGATCCCCTTGTTTGTCCTGAGCATTTCTGGACTGGTGAAGTTTCTCCAGACAACCTGCTGATTAGATGAAATTGTAATCTGAGCACTGCAGGTTTTATTTGATTTCTGTCAGCATAATAATAAGATCTAAATAACCAAGTTACTTCTAGGTTACAGTGACCTGCTGTAGGTCTGTTCTCACGTTACTTCATGTGGAACACCTGACCTTTCTTCATAAATGCAAAAACAAGTTGTTTGTGGGTTGTTATTTTGGAAAAGAAACATGAGCTCCATGTAAATATCAGCCCTGGTTTTGATTATCAAATATTCCAACCAGGAAACCAAATTCCCATGAAACCTGCAGCATGCGTCCTTTGGAGGATATGCAGCATAATTAAGATGTATGGAAACTGCTGCTAAGGGCGTGTGCCTTATTTAATGGTTCAGGAACGAGTTTTAATTTTTGAAACATAGGAGAGAACAGTGACATAACAGTAAGAGAAGAGCACAGCGATATAAACAGTGAAATACGTGAAAAAGAGACCGTGTGTGTGTGAGGAACTGTTGTGGGGGCGTGCACAACTCTATTCAGATCAAAAGCAAACATTTGTGAAGGAGAGAGGATTAAAAAAAAGGGAAAGAAAGATAAGAACTACAAAAAAGCTGTTTAAAACGTGTTTTAGATGTTTTAGACGAAAGGAGAAAATAATAATTAGAATTTGTGCAATTTTAGGGTCTGTGTGTGTATACCACACACCCGATATAACTATATATATATATAGGTATGATATAATAATGACAGTACACTTTATACGCTAGAGAGATAAATATGCACAGTGCATAAACACCGGGCTTTTAAGATAACTTAATCTTGTCACCACATGCAGGAGAGGTAGAGTAAAACACAGGCGTTACACTAAATGCATGCAATGTGAAGTTTTTCAGAGTGGGTCAGTCTGTCATTTATAGCTTCTTTTCCGCATATAAAATTAATTATTAATTTATTACGTAACCACAGTAAAACATTTTGTGCACTCAGCCTTTTCACACTGGAGTAAATCGGTGCATCCATGCATGTGCCGTTCATGGGTGAGGCTGCAGGGATGAAGCAAATGTTAGTGTGGTCACTTTATCCCTGCCTCCTTATTTTATCACCATCTTTTTTTTCCCCCGTGGTATTCCTCTCACAGAGGGGAGGGGGACAGAGAAAGGCTTGGTTCTGTTGTCAGATCTGTCAGTCTCGCCACCCCGGCCCCTCCCACCTCAGCAGAGGCATTACATACTGCCGCTGCTGCTCGTGCTCTTAGCAACGGTGCCTCGGCAACAGAGCCACGGCAACAGAGCTCCACGGCAACAGCGTGCCGTGTGTCTCCCCAATGGAGCTGCCATTGGGCGGACCGGTGCTCAGGCACTACACCCAGAGCAGACCGAGACCTCACCGACAGAAACTGAACTATCGTCCCAGCAGACCGCAGGTACTGTGCAGGAGAATCAGGGAGGTTTCTGTAAAAATGGAGAGTGAGAGAAAGGTGTGTGTGTGTGTGTTTGAGGGAGAGAGGAGGGAAAATGGAAGGGAGGGAGAGAGGAGAGATGGAATAGGGTACAGAGGGGAGAGGCAGGGGGAAGGGAAGGATGGAGGGGGAGTGCTGTAAAAGATGCCTGGTCCCCGGCTTGAATTAGGCAGTGCCATTGTACCGGTCACCGGCTGCTTCAGGAAGCCAATGAAATCTGCCTCTGTGAGAGTGGGCGCTCGTTTTCTTGCTTTCTCTTAAAAAAAAAAGGAAAAAAAGAAGCCATTCAGTTTCTTCATGTGATCGTGTAAAATATGTGTGTGAGCTCATCCGTTTTCCACTGAGCTGATCACGCTGTCACAGAGCTATTAGGCTGCAGACATTCAGTCACTCCCTTGGAGACAAATGGCCTGGGAGACAAAATTCAAGCAATTCCCCTGACAGGATATCATGTAACGGTGACTTCGGCTAAATTTGCCTTCTGGACTCGAGCCTCCCCCGACTTTCATTGCTACTTGTGGGCACAGATGTTAATGTGATCAGGACAATGCGGCTCCCAATTTTGATATCACGTTACCTATATTGGCAAAAATGAGTTATGTTGCTTCCATTCAGCGTTTAAAAAATCCAATGACGACCCCCTCCCACTCCACCCCCCAGCACCCATTGTACGTTACTGAGCAACTGAGTCCAGGGAGGCCCGGATCGTAACATAAATGGATGAGAGAATCAAACCAAAATACACCTATAGAGGCATGAGGAGTGCTAGGAGTGTGTGGGTTTTCAGAAGTGATAGTTATGTAATGTAAAGTTACATGCTGTAAGATGCGAGTTGTTCCTTGTTAGTTTGTGTGATCCGTGGTGCAAAATATCTGATTTCTGTGTGTGTGTGTGTCTGGGGGGTAATTAGGAGACAATAATCGAGAGTGAAAATGAAGTCCTTGAGCTCATGGGGCGTGTGGATGAAGGAGTTGAAGAGTTCTTTACTAAGAGAGTACTGCCTGCTGATACACTGTGAGTATCACGGCACACAAATTAGCCCCTTCATGTTTACCCGTACAAGTGAATAGACCTTAAACTGAGACATACGACTCTTTGTACAGGAAGCTGCAGGATGAGGAATCTATCACAGTGCACGAAGTGGCTCCTGCCAGCTCTGTCCCTTGTCCGGCCCCGACGAAAACCCTCCGGAGGAAGCTGGGTGATTTCTTTACGCTCAAAAAGAGGCGAGGTTTGAAATCAGAGACGAGCCATGAGGGGCGTCCCAAAAAGGCCTCCATCGCTGATCTCATTCGCCCTCTCAGGGAGGTTGCCAGATCCGAGAAAGACAAAGACAAAGACCGAGTAAAGGAGCACGACAAGGAAAATGAAAAGGAGAAAGCAAAAGAGGCTCCCACTGCTGTTTCTGGAGAGCCAGCTGTTCGGGAGACACCTGTTTCTGGCGCTCCGCCGCTGAGGGGCGAAGCAGTGCCTCCCCGCCGAGCTCTCAGAGAGGGGAAGTCCCAGTCTCTCATTTTGCTATCTGGCTCAGCAGCAGCGGGGTCGACCAATGCCAGAAACACAGCAAAGGTGGGTGTTGCTAGAGTTAATGCCTGTTTTTTTAGTCTTTTTCATTAGTGGATAAGAACTGAAAATTGGTTTGCTGCTGCTGCTTTTAGAAACAATTTGAAGGCCAGAATAGCTTTGAACAGAAGCTCCATCTCATGCTTCAGCGTATTGGAGTTTCCAAACCCCTGCCAGGAGAGACACAGGTTTGCACATCTGCATGTCTGAATGTTGTTATGGATATCTCAGAGGCCTTAAAAAGTACTAAATGCTCCTTTTTTATGTAGGATCAAGAAGGAGAGATGAAAAAGGCCGAGTCTGAAGGTATGTGCCTTTATCTGTGATACGTTTAATAGTCTTCTCAGCTCCAGCGTAGTATTAATGAGGCTAAATTAATCTTTGAAGTCTAGGGATTTGTGTCAAAAGGATAGGCTTCTCGACATGGATCAGTTCTCCAATGAAAAGATTTAGTATCTGAGGGGCTGCGCTGATAAGCCAAGCAGGAGTCTGTGGTTCTTTCAGTCTATTATAGGGCCATTAATTCCTGTGGTAAAATGATTTTTGCCCTTCAGGTACCATCATTGACAGTAAACCCGAGCCACCTCCCACTTTCTCAAAACCTCGAACGATGTCTGCATCATCAGGTAAAACGCTGGTTTACGCTCTCATGTGTACAGAGTACAGTAAGTGAACCATTTTCACGTTTATTTTGCTTGCTTTTTAGACACAAGGCATCAGATTCGGGCAAGTGTGTCAGCGCATGAAGGAGCCGGGAAACCCGCTCTGCTTCCAAAGCCGGTTATCAAACCGGGGCCACCCCCCACAACGTCTGGCCGCAACACACCTGAGAACGAGCTGGCCCAAATACAGGAAGCAGAGACACACACGCCCACTAAACTCAGCCCAGCCGCAGCGCCGTCACCTCCGGCCACCACCGCTCCCGCTGCACCGACAATCTCAAACGCGGTCCCCGACTCGACCGACTTTGAAGCTCCCCCTTCGAGTACTGTAACTCCCTCACACGCAGATGTATGCACTGACTCTCCTGCAGCAACCTCCGTCCCCGAAACTACGACCGCACCCACAGAGCCCCCTGCCAACGCATCCGTTACCCCCACCTCCTCAGAGTCTGTTACTCCAAGCCTCGCTGTCACTTCCACTTCAGCAGCAACAGTTGCCGGGCCTTCCATTACCACCTCGGAAACTGTTTCTGCTCCCAGTCACGAAAGCCCTGTTTCCACGGCATCAACAAATCTGTCAGCCAAATCGACTTTGCCAGAGCCAAATGGCGTTCTCTCACTTGATGTTGCTCCTGCTGCTGGTGGTGATGCAGCTATTTCTGTCACCACCACAGCTTCTGCGCCCTGCACCAGCGTGTCAGATGTGCCGCCGGGCTTGTCTACCACCACCACCATCAGCGAAGTCAGTCATGAACCAGCTTCAGTCACATCCAGTAGCTCTTCAACATTAGTCACTATGACTACATCACCTCCCTCTGACTCAAGTGATGTAATTACAGTAACAATTTCACATGACCCCACCTTTACCGCTTCCTCCACCATGGTCTCTGCTGCCCTTCCTCCTACCACCTCAGCACCTTCTACTACTCCTACAGCTCAACCTCAACCCCAATTATCCACTGACTCCATTAACTCCGCTTCTTCATCTACCGCCATTCACCCAGCCACTACGTCCGTTCCCTCCACCTCTTCTAGTGAAACAAACCCTACAGACACCACTTCCACTG